ATCTTTATATGATAAGTGGTCTATGTCACACACAGGCTAAGACTAGCATAACCAAAAACATTCAATTAGTCAGACACTGATTATTAAACTATATTTCCATGGTGATTGCTAATTCCAAGAGTCTTCACAGAGTAAGGATTATTACAAAATCAAAGCTATCAGACACAGAATTTCAACACACATACAAAAGTTACATTGTAATTAAAATACAGAGACAGGCTCTAAGAAACAAAACAGGCCCCACAAACATCTGGTAAGTTAAGCCTTTAGCACTGTCAACAAAGACCACCCCCAACTTGTGTAATGTTGCTGTGCTCTCACACATGCTAACCATGAAAGCGGATATTCTTAGTGACATAAATGAATTTCAATCCAACTGTTTTCGGAAAAGTTTTGACAGCGTGTTTCATAATCTTGGTTTGTTCTTCCTTGGCAGTACTTTCTAAGTGGGTGTAACGGCACACACCTATAATTCCAGCAGCATGGAGCCCGAGACACAAGGACCAGGAGTCTCAGGCCAGCCTCTGCTGCTAAGTGAGACCATCTCAAAACAAACAAACAAACAAACAAACAAACAAACAAGTAAACAAAAAACAGACACCGCTTTGGAATACTTAGAGTTACTTAGCAGACCAGTTTTGACTGAGAAATATGGTATTACTTAATGTAAGCACAACAGTTATTACATTAGCAACAGATCCCAACAGTAACAAAAACAACTAGCCACAAAAGAAAACATCAGGGGAAAGAAATAACCATGATGATGTTCAAACTGTCTCTCTAGGTAGTCTACCAGAAGCTGTCTCAACTGGTCAGGTATCTTTTTCTCCCATTTTAACTTTTAAATTTAGTATATAAAGTAATGATTTTCACTATTACCTTTTAGATATATGTATTATACTTTTTTAAAACTCAACTTCCTCCCTCCCTGCCCTCCTCTTCCTCCCCCCATTAGGGCCCTTTCTGTTCTGTCCTCACAGGAATTCCATCAACTTCTCTCCCTTCCGCCATCTTGTAAGAGTTCTCCCACAGCCCCTCCTTAGTTTCACTGACACACATGAAAGCAGACAGTCAGTGTTTTGTCTTTGTGAGTCTGGCTGATTTTAACATAATGATGTCCAGCTGGACAGGAATTTTTAAGTAACGTGTTTACTGATGTATCCTGAGTACTTACAACAGGGCACACAGTCAGCACTCAATAATTATCTGCCATGACCCTTCCTCTTAAGAAGCCTGAACCCATATTTCTAGTGCACACTTCATTTGTTCCCCAAGGAATTTCTATCTCTCTTAAGATCCTTGTTTAAATCTCTGTCGATACTATTTCGTATTCAATTACAACTTTGCGGCTGGGCGGTGGTGGCACACACCTTGAATCCCAACACTCGGGAGGCAGAGCCAGGCGGATCTCTGTGAGTTTGAGGCCAGCCTGGGCTACAGAGTGAGTTCCAGGACAGGCAAAACTACACAGAGAAACCCTGTCTCGGGAAAAAAAAAAAAAAAAAAAAAAAAAAAAAAAAAAAAAAGTACACCTTGGCTACAAACAATTGCTGAATGACTCTACACTGGAGACTAACTGGGAAAACAACAGTGACAAGGACATATGGAATAAGCAACCATCTGTCTGCTAAAAGCGGGGTGCTGTCATGGGGCTCAGGCTGGTCTTGAACCTGTGATGTTCCTGCCAGAGTACGGCACACACCACCACTCGCAGGCTGAAGTAAGTACTATTTAAGAGTATCCCTCCGTATAAGAGCATTTGGAAACACATGATGTCTAAAGACCAGATCCTGTTTGGAGTCAGGTGGTAAATATCTACATCACAGCAGGACCATGTGATATCCCAGGAGACAGTGAGAATCAAAACACCCATGATTCTTGCCTCTGTGGAATTTGCAGTTTTGTAGATGACACCTTTGAGTAAAGGAATACAGCCCACAGCTTACTAGGAAGTAAAATAAAGGTAATTTGAACTTGCTGAAATGCACAAGATTGTCTCTTCTGCCTTCCATGCAGAGCAGATGAGCTATAAAACAAGCAGCCAGAAGGAAAAGCGGGTTGAGGAGACCGGTGTTACAGAGGAAGAGAAAACACTGTTTAAAGATGCTCATCTCCTCAGTGTCCTGAAATCTGCTCAGTCAGATAAGTTTTTCCTTTTCTTAAACCATTTCTTTTAGAAACCATTTCCTGTCTACATTTTTCTACTCCTTCTACATACATTACTGCAGATTTTTTTCTGGGGCGGGGAGGGGATTCATATTCATTTAAGGTCATCAACAATGAAGGAAGACAAAGACTCCAGGGACCAATAGATTCTGCTGGACACTAGCAGTGTGTTTTTTTGGTGAGCCACACAATGGTCCAGATCTCTACTTTTTCATCTGTAAACTGATCTGATCTGCCCATTTCACATAAAGACTGAGTAAGTGTTATAGTTTGGAAGTGAAATGCCCCCACAGGCTCGTGTGTTTGAATGCCTGATCCCATGACTAGTGGCACTATTTTGGGACTATAACACTTTTCAGAGATGAGACCTAGCACCTACCCTACTTTGGGTCTGCTACTCTAGTGACTCTGTATGTGAGGAGGGAAGGAACCCCAGCTGCACACTCCCTAACACCATGAACCTGACGTGATTAACCGTATCCCTTCAAACTGAACCAAAACAACTCCTTCCTCCCTTAGGCTGCTTATCGAGTGTCTGATCACAGCGAGGAGAAAAGCAACTAATATGACGGGGACAGAAAAACCTCCCGAGGAGACGCCTACACCAAATGAGCACTTAAAGGCGATCAGCCTTTCTCTCTGAGGTAGTTTCTTGTCTCCCCAAGCAGGCAAGCAGACTTAAGTCAGAAGTGTTCAACCTTATCAATCAGCTATCTGCCAGTCCGGCAGCAAACAAGAGCTCTACAAGAGAACCTTACCTTGTGGGTAAATGGAAATACACACATTCGGGGGTTAAGACACATTTTATGTCAGTCTACTTTATCTCAGGTAAACCCTCTAGTACAATAAAAATGTACACACTCAAAATTTGATGTTTAACGAGTACGAAGCTGTATGCTGTGGTAACTGAGGACTATTAACATAAAGGCTAAATTCTTCAGTATACAACAAAGGCAAGCCCCTGCTAATAAATATGCAACAAAGTTGAATTAAAAATATTTATTATGGAATCTGTTTGCAACCATTATGATGAAAAATATAAAAGTATGTGAAATACACAAACTCAGAACAATCTCTCTTCAGAGAGCTTAGGGCTCCGGGGATGGCTTAGTTTGTGAGGAACTCCCACTCAGACATGAGAGCTGAGTTCAGACCCCATCTCCTACATAAAAGTAATATAAAAAATAAGCCACATAAGGATGGATATCACACAGAAAATCTGGATTGTGTTGTCTTTGATATTTTTAACTCCAGAGAGACATTTGATTGTAAAGGCTGCTGAGTTAAACCAATATGTATATTTTAAAGGTATCTTGACTTCAAAATTTGGATCTAAGGATATGTTGTTTTGGAAAGGAGGCTCTGCTTTTGTTTCCACAGAAAGCAAGAGGCTATGGATTTGTTCCAGATTAAGATACATCAGGTTTGACCAGCCAAGATCCCCTGAAAGGTCTCCGATGACACCAAGGCCCAGATGATCCAACATCCAAAACGATTTCAAGGCAACTAGCTCAGACAATACAGCCTCATGACCTACTCCATAAGCCTAAAATTTTCTTTGTGTCCCCATAAGAATACAGCGCCCTCACCCAACAGGAAGTAGTATGAGGAGCTACGCCCAAATTCCCAAATATACCAAGCTGGCTTTGGAGATGGAATTGGCTCACTCCTTACGTAAATGCAAGCATATTGCTAAAAAAGAAAAAAAGAAAGGTTGAGAGATTCTTCTGTCCCATATCAAAAGAGCCCTCTGGTGTAGGACAGAGAAAAACCAATATTTTTATTTAAAACAGGATGATTATCTTTCTAAAGAAGACAGGGGGATATGACATGGAAATATAGGATATAGATATGATAAAATAAAAGGGTGGATTATTGAACCTACTTTTAAAGAACAACTTGTTTAAAATGTTTTACATTGGTATAGATTTTAGTTTATTGATACAAATTTAGAGTTGATTTTGGTCTACTATATATATATATTTCTACTCTTGTTTAAGGTATTATGTTTATGTAACTCATTTACATTGTAATGGATAATTAAGAAATACAGATTAATAATTAGTCTTCTATGATAATCAAACTTATAGTCATGTTAATTTAGTTTTCTAGGTATATATAGATATATTTCAGACAGATAAGTTGTCTTTAAACACTTCAAAGACCTACAGAATATGGCATTTAAAATGTTTTAAAAATTTAGACTTTCTGGACAGTGAGACATGTCTGCTCCTGACAGCACCAATTTACTTCAGAGAGGAAGATGAGCATCAAAGACACTCCATATGGAGTTTATCTTCTTCTTGGCAAAAACAGTCATTTGGGCAAGAAACTGTTCTTCCCTAGACTGCTTGATCGACTGGACATGCAGGACCCATGGGAAGGTGACCACTGAATTTTGCTTGGCAAAATGGTCCTTCAGGTTCCTGCTTCACAGAGGAAACTGCCAGACATTCTACAGGACACAGAGAAAAGTGACTGAGAGACTCTAGGCCTGTGGACTGAAGACAGATGCCCCAACTTTACAAAAGAACCTTGGATGAATGTCCAGGCTGCCAGTTGTCTCTGTCTACCCTGCAAGACTCCCCGAAAGTTGCTTGTGTTCTCCCATTTCTCAGGTAATATTATATCCTTCTGAGGTCTTTGATGGAGTTGAAGACTAGATGGTTATAATTTCCTTAGTTATGATAAAAGATAAGTTAGATATGAAACCTTAGACTCACAAATATAGGATAGATAGAACATCCTCTTTAATTTTGCCAAATACAAATAGACTAAATATTGCAACTGTAATTCTTGCTTGATAATTATTCTGTTATATGTAATTTTACTATGTTAAAGTTAAAACCTTCTTTTTTGAAAAAAAAGGGGGGGGGGACGTGCTGTGGATATCGCTCTGTATAAATAAAATGACAATTAGCCAGTAGCCAGGCAGGAAGTATAGGCGGGACAAACAGAGAAGAGAATTCTGGGAACAGGAAGGCTGAGCCAGCAGACGCCAGCCCGCTGTCAGGGAGCAGCAAATAACAGGCACACAGGTAAAGCCACGGAACACATGGCGACATACAGATTAACAGAAATGGGCTGAGTTTAAGTGTAAGAGCTAGTCAGTGGTAGGCCTGAGCTAATGGCCGAGCAGTTCTAAATAATATTAGCCTATGTGTGTTTATTTGGGTCTGAGTGGCTGTGGGCCCGGGCAGGACTGGAGATAACGCCAACTACAGTATGACATGTGTCTGAAAGTGCAGCACTAGGGAGCAGAGACAGACAAATCCCAGGAGCTCATTGGCCAGCTGAATCACGGAGCTCTAGGCTCAGTGAAAGATCCTGACTTAATAAATAAGGTGGAGAGCAGTAGAGACAGTACCAGACATTAACCTCTGGCCTCCACACACCCAAGCACAGACATACAACTGCATGCATACACACACCCAAACATGTGCAAACACTACATACATGCAAATACAAAAACAAACATACAAGCACACACAAGTGAAGAGCTTACATGTACATATCCAATGTTCAAATAACATTAAATATCACATATATTTTAATCTGTCTAGCTAGCTATAATTTAAAATTACTCTAGATAATTCAATCACCATCACTGAAAATCACTTAATTTTACATACTGACTTAATTTACTTTAAATATGTCTACATAAACTGGGTGTAGTGGGACACACCTGTAATGCCAGCATTTAGGATGCAGAAGCAAATGGATGCAGGGGAGTCAGGGCTACATAGTAGGACCCTGTCTCAAGGGACTGGAAAGATGGTTCAGTTGTTAAAAGGACCCACTGCTCTTGTAGAGGAAAGAGGTTCAGTTCCTAGCACCCACATGGTGGCTTACAACTATTTATAACTCCAGTTCCAGAGGATCTGATGCCCTCTTCTGCTCTCTGTTGAGTGTGCACACATGCACACACATGGTGGACATACATACATGCAGGCAAAACACTCATAAGCATAAAATAAAATAATTCCAAACATTTTTTAAAAGACCATCTCAAAAACACAAAACAAAGTACACATATTTTACTAGGGAGAAGACTCAATGGATAAGCATTTGCCACACAAGCAGAGAACCTGAGTTCCGTTCCCCAGAATCCACGTAAAGTCAGAAGCTGTACCTCTGAAGCAGGAGGACAGGAGACGATGTGAAAATTCCCAGAAGCTCACAGACCAGCCAGTTTGGCACATGCAAAGACAAGAGACACTGTCTTGTGGTGTGGTGGCACATACTTTTTGGTTTTTGTCCTTGTTCAAGACAGGGTTTCTTGGTGTAACAGCCTTAGCTGTCCTGGAACTCGCTGCTTTGTAGACCAGGCTGATCTTGAACTCACAGAGATCCTTCTGCCTCTGCCTCTTGAGTGCCAGGATTAAAGGTGTGCGCCACCACTTCAAGGTTATGGCACATGCTTTTAATCCCAGAACTTGGGAGGTAAAGGCAGGTATATTTCTGTGACTTCAAGGCCAGTCAGAGCTACATAGTAAGACACTGTCTGAATTTAAGGAAAAAAAGGGGGGAGGGGGGCAGAGAGTGCTGGAGTATGCCTCTAATCCCAGCATTCAGGAGGTAGACCTCTGTGAGTTCGAGGCCAGCCTCGTCTACAGAGCAAGTACAGGACAGCTACAGCAACACAGAGAAACCCTGTCTTGAAAAACCAAAAAAAAAAATGTCTAAAATACATAAAAGGCAGAAGGCAAGGATCAATACTTGAGGTTGTCTCTGACTTCCATATGTAGCCATAGCAAGTATGCACACACAGTCATATACACATATATAATAAAACACATACACATACAAAAGGTTTTTAAAAATCTGGCAAATAGATGTATTAGTAAGCAGCTTAGGAGATAGCTTGGACAGGGAAGTGTCTGCCAGGTAAGCAAGAGGACCTGGGTTCGAGTTCCCAGAACTGACATAAAAAGTCAGCAAAAGTGGCACATGTGTGTAATTTCAGCAATGAGCATCAGATAGGTAGATCCCTATGGATCACTATCCCTATGGATCCCTGGGTCAGCCAGCCTCACATAATTGGAAAACCAATTATAATTGGAAAACCAAGCCAGGGACAGACTGTCTCAGAAAACCAAGGTGAATGCTGCTTGAGGAACACACTTAAAGCTGACCTTGCTTCCACACTCATGTGCACACATAAAACTAATTAAATACAAATACATGTTATACTAGTACATGCTAAAGATTGTGTAAGGAACTATTTTAGGAGTTCAAGTAGGAGATCAATGTGGGCTGAGCTATAAGGACCAGGGCGAGCATCTTCAAGAGCCAGCTCCTGCAAGGCCAGGTGATACACAGTCAGAATGCACTGCTTAGAACACCAAGGAAGCTGACTTGGCTGAGACAGAGTGACACATATTTGCATCCTCCCCATTTTCTGTCTATAAAGCACAACACCTTCCATACGACAGACACTTAATAACTGACGGAAGGAAGCTGAGAGCAGACTAGATCTTTTTATAGTCTCAGAAGAGGAATGTCTTGATGAAAATGGCATTTCATAACCCTGACCGAGCAGCAAAAATGCTTCCCAAGGAGACATCAAGGCTCTATCACATCCTTGACTACGACCTTGCACAAATGTTTCTGTATTTAATTTACTTAATTTTGCACATTCTTAGAAACAGTAACTGCTTCTGTGAGTCCTTTACACTGTTTTAGTGCACAGAACTAATCACGCAAGGTGAAAATCCCCACCATACTGGAAGCTTTGCTGTGTAGTCAATTCTGAGAGTCCCAGCTAGACTCTGACAAGCTGTTCTCTTACTTTGCTTTCATACCTGAGAGTGCTTCTCCCCGCTGCAAGACTTCTTCAATGTTGGCAACCATGATCCTCTGCACATCTTGCAATTCAGTGTTGATGGAGCCTAGATTTCTCCGAGCACGACTATCAATGTAGAGTTTCTTGGTTTTCTGAATGAAGGTATCTAGAATGATGATAAGTAACCATTAACAATTTTCCTGTCCATCAAGCCACTGAAAGAGGTAATCAGAACTTGATTTTATTCCAAGACTGGCCACTGTCCACTGTCTTGATTTTATTCCTACATCTGCCATCTGTCTGCTGTTGGCTTTGACCTCTTTGTAAAATGTTAAGATGACCATTCAGGTGAACTGTCCTTGGGACACCTCTGAGTTTGAGGCAATTACTACCAGAATCCATAGAGATATTAAGACCCATTTAGTAAACCATTACTGAAGACAGAAAAATTTCAAACTATATTCAGAGACCCTTTGGGTTTCATTACTTAATTCTACACATCCCCTGAAATAACTAACACTGTCAACACTTTATCATCACAGCCTAAAATGGCCAAAGAGTTAGAGCAGCAGTATACTTTCCAAATTTACCCCAAATCAAACATGATCAAAACCTGCAAAATCACCAATACAGAACCGTAGTTTCATCCACTTGTAGCCTAGTTGTCTGCATTTCTCAAAACTGTGGGGATGGCATATCAGAAGTATTTTCAACTCTTGACAAAACAATCTACCGCTATGCTGTTGATCCCTGACTTGGCTTTCAATTCCCGCTCCATCCTCCTGCACTCTGGGACGCTGAGCTCCGTGGAGCACGGACTAGCAGTGTCCCTCCACTAAAAGCTTCTGCTCCTTTGAGCTGGTCTGCCCCTAAGTGCTCTCCCTTTCAGCTCAGAAGCTGCTCCTTCCCTTGACATCTTCCTTCTGAGGATGGGAACAACTATACTGCTCATGGTCCTGAGTCACTATACGTGGAATTGCAGTCTGTTTCTGTCTTTATTCACCTGAAGCTTATTTGGGTAAGCCATCTACTTCCTTTGTGACCTTGATACACTTGTCTTATTATTCCCTTGGATTTACTAAACTTGTTATCCAGAAAATATCATTTAAAAAACTATATATCGCCAGGCGGTGGTGGTGCACGCCTTAAATCCCATCACTGGGGAGGCAGAGCCAGGCGGATCTCTGTGAGTTCGAGGCCAGCCTGGTCTACAGCGTGAGATCCAGGACAGGCACCAAAACAACACAGAGAAACCCTGTCACAAAAAAACAAAAAAACAAAAAAAATCATATAAATTAGCATTTGGCCATTTTCTCTATATTACTAAAAGCAAGATGATGTACCTGTCTAACAAACTTAAAAACTTTAGAAATTCCAAGACATAAAGAAAGATGTTTCTCTTTTGACTAAGGATTTCAGCAATGTATTCTGACTCTGCCTGTTCTAGCTCTCAATGCTTATCATGCACAGGCCATTTCCTTTGACCTACTAAGAGCACAATCTTTTACAGGTCTGACTGGTGCTGAACTTTCCCCTAATTCCTGTGCAAGTACAGACACTCACACTTGCTACTTCTGAAGGTAACAAACAGGGTTTTCAAATACCATATATTTTCTAATTAGAGGTTCTTATTCTACTGGGAAGAAAAAACAAAACAAAACAAAACAAAACACCAATCATCATTTTTCCTGATTTCCATAGAATTAGTCTTACTGTGTGAGCCTACAGATTAAAGAACTCAGTTATGATAGGGTAGTCAAGTATACTGTTACATAGAATTTGTCACACAAACTAACCAACAAAAAGGCACATGGGGAAAAAGACAAAAGACTAGAGGAATTTACTAATAAGAAGGAAGCCTTCTTCATTCAAAAAGACAAAAAGGTACATTTGGAGAAGGGACAGAATCAAACCCTTCCCAGGCAAATTCCAGGGGAAAACGTGTCAACATTATAATCAGTGTATCAAAGGGTTTCTCCACAATGTTTACTCCTTCACAGAGAAATGCAGGGTCCAGTCTTACCAAACTCGATGAAGGAATAGGGCCTGGACACGGTGGGCACCTTCTTCCCATGCTGCTCATCAAATTCGGAGTGCAAGTCTTCCAGGTAGGCAAAGGCCAACTTCTTAGGGAAAGCAGCTTCACACAAGACCAAGTAACACACCCCCTGCTCAATAATGTAGCTGGAGGAAAGAGCAAGACACGGTTACTCACCAAGGGACCGTACTGCGTGTGGAGGCTGACTTTTAGGACTCCATCAGCTTGTGTAAACATCTGGTCCAAGTCAAAGGGTTCACTTCAGATCACGGATTGTTAGAACCAAGAAGTCAACTGTCTTCCCACTACTAAACACAGATCCAAAAAAACGGGGCTGGCATGGGTGTCTCAGCACTGAGGAACACTTGTTCTTGCAGAGGATCTGAGTTCATTCCCAGCATCCAGCATCCACAGGGTAGCTCACAACCATCTCTAGCTCCAGGCCCAGAGAACTTGAACGCCTCTTCGGACCCCTGTGGGCACCAGGCATGCAAGCACGCACGCACGCACGCACGCACGCACACGTGTGTGCACACACACACACACATACACACACACAGAGGAAAAACACTCATATACATAAAAGTAAATAGAAAAAAATACCCAGAAGAGAGTAGGCACATTGTAATTGTTTATTCATTATACAATTTTTCAATTAATATATGTTAATACCTAAGAGGTTATTTTTGAAAGCTACAGGCATAATGACTCCATCCATCCTATGACCATGTATGACAAAAATATTAGTGTATACATATTAAAGTCCTTCCAGTCACAACATAAAAGAGAACTAAGAATTTATGGAGAAAAAAGTTAGAAGTTAAATGAGATAATGTTTACTGGCATAGAAAAAAGCCACCTCAAAAATAGTCAAGCTACCTACTTCTGACCGGAAGAATGTTGTGGAATATTATTTTAACTAGGCAAAGGTGTGTTACCTTTGTTTCTGCTGACTTTAACAATGTAAAGATGTGTTACATTTGCTTCTGTTGCATTTGTTTAACTATGGAAAGATGTGTTGCTGTTTCACCTTGCCTGCCTAAGGCACCTGACTGGTCCAATAAAAAGCGGAATGGCCAAGAGCTAGGCAGGAGAGGGATAAGTGGGGTTGGCAGGCAGAGAGAATAAGTAGGAGGAGAATGAGAAAAGGGAGAAGAGAATGAGGGAGAAAGAAAGGGAGATGGCCCCGGGCTAGCCAGGCAGCTACCATACAGGAAAAAAGTAGAAAGCCCTGAGGCAAAAGGTAGATAAAGAGAAACAGCTTAATTTAAGTTAAAAGAACTAGCCAGAAATGTGCCTAAGCTAGTGATAAGTCTCCCTGTCATGATTTGGGAGCTGGTTGGTTTCCCAAAAGAAAAACCCTGGTACAGAAGAACTCTAATCAACTGGAAAACCATTCAACAATGGAACTGACTCCTTTTTGTGACAGTGAGCTCTCTGGTATTCTGGGAAGGGGCTTTGTGACTATGGAATATTCTTGGGGAAAAGTTAAGCTACTAAGAGCCTTTCAAACCTTTTAGTCACAGTACTCTTTATTCCAACAAAACATATACTAACAGGGCTTATGTGCGCAGAGGACAAGGTCAGAGGTTCTTTGGTTTAGGTGGTTGAAAAGCACGAAGTCTGTCTGACACAAACTCCCATCCCGCCTTCTGTTCCTGACCCCCGAGGCATCCTAGAGCCCCACAAAGGAACATTTAAGACTTGGTGCTCTCTCGGGCACAGAGTGATGTTTAACTGCTGTCCTACCACTTGCACGGGCACCTGGGTGAACTGACCTCCTTGACTTTAATCTGCACTGTCATTTATGACGCTGGTGTCATTCCCAGAGAAATCAACGGGACTTACAGCCCTACTTCAAAGCTACAGGGACACACAAATCCAGTAACATAAAGTCATACTCTGGTAGTGTTGATAGCCTTTCAGATGAAATGCTAAGTCACACTTTACCACAGTCAAATGGCATGGTGCCTCGAACAAACTAGACCCCGCACGCCTGCTTAAGCTGTTCTTTCTCACTGTGGTGCTTTTACACACCTGGAGAAATTCTGTTCCTTCTCAGATGTTCAAGCCTCTGTAAGTTCTTTTTTCTCTGAAAATTTTATAGTCACTTTTCTTCTAGTCCCTTTCTTCAAACACTCAAATAGGAATGTATTGCTTTCTTCAAAGCACTTCATTTACATTTCTTGTTCTAAAGCCCAGCTTTCTCAACTGGTGGCTTGTGACCCCATATGGAACTGTGAAAATCTGGCAACTCTGAATGAGCAAAAACAAAATGAAAAATGGAACATGTATGGAGCCAAGGTATTTCTGTCGGGGCTTTACAACAATGCATAGTGTGCTTTTACTGCAGCCTTGTTTCTGAACATGCACATCCTTTGCACTGCACAGGATGTCAAGACACATGCCAGCAAATACCCAGAACACATGAGCTCAGATCTGAGACTGCTCTGTGTCATGAGCTGAAGTGTTCCTATGTGGTACATTGGAAGTTTTCTGCTCTTATAGAAAAAATGATGATTTGATAATAGAAAACAAAGACATTTTTCCTGTCATTATTCCTCACTTTGTAACTACCAAAGTAGTACACATTTTACTATTAGCCATGCTTGATTTTAAAATCTGTTTGAGTTGCTGACTTGAGTTGCATTAAAAAAAACCAAAATCATTAAATGGATTTTGCCTTGAAACCTGGACAGAATTCACACCAATTTCTGAAATGGCCTTAACCATATTTCTACCATTTTGTTCTACATATTTATGCAAGGCAGTGTCCTCAGCACTCAAGATTATAAAATCAAAATGAAGATAAACTCTGAAAAACACTGATGATGCTCTATACCCTGCAGAATCAAAATTCAGTCAAGCTGCAATCTTTTATGTAAAAATACAAAACATCTCATGAGCATGTAAATTTGCTTATTTTAACTAAATAACAAATTTACTTGTACACCAATGAATTACTTAAAAATAAATTTTTGAACAATTTATGATGAGTAAATGTTTAATTTGTGTACCTATTTTATGTACGTACATACCCAGTCTTGTAAAAATTTTGTGAGCAGAAAAGCAAGTGGGAAAGTTTAGCGAGCCCTGCTCTAAAGCACTGTGCTGGTTTGAATGTGCCTGTTAGGAAGAAGGTTGGCTCATTAGGAGGTAGGGGCACACGTGAAGACAACAAAGCTCTGGCGAAGAAGAACCCTTACTAGCTCTTCAGCAGAAAAACCCAAGACCGTGAAAGGCCTACAGGAATCACAGGAACATTTCTTTCTAGGTCCACAAAGTATTTCCTGGGCCTTTTGTTCTCTATTTCACGTGGAAACACACACACACACACACACACACACACACACACACACACACACACACACACAGAGTCATCCTACAGTATCTGCAGGGGATTACTTCCAGGATACCCAGAGTTACTAAAATTGGAAAATGTCTAAGTTCCTTATATAAGGTGGAACAATATTTGCACAAAATCCATGTCTATCTTTTTGTAGACTTCAAATCATCTAAAATACCTAGTAGAGTATAAACAATCTCTTAACAGCTGTTATATTGTTTAGGGAATAATTATGATGATAAGAAAATATAATGATAAGAAAAAAAAAAACTCCACAAAACCCACATCTGTTTAGAACAGACACAAGTTTTAAAAACATTCTCAATGCATGGTCCTTTGCTATAGACATGGCTTCCACAGAGACAGAACCCGTGGACAGAGACGATAACTGTATCATATTATTAAATGAATATATATGCATTCTCTTGGCTAAGTTGTCTAGGCTGGTCTCAGCTCATGAGCTCACACAGCTCTCCTGCCTTAGCCTCCAGACTGGCTCAGACTACAGATGCATGCTATCTCTTATGGCCAAATGGCTATTATTATTATTTTTTATTATTTTGGTGTTTAAAGTATCTTTGCAAATGCCTTAGATACTATGTAATTTCCTTATAAAATGTGTGTCTCCCGTTCTCTTTTAGAGCATGCTTGGTTTTGGTAAGCTCAAGTACTTTGGTTGCAGCGCTTGTTTATTAGCTGTTTGCAGCTCACCCAAGCAGCTCCTCCTCGTCCTAACAGACCTCACCGCCCGAACTGCTGTCATCATGAAGCTCACTTAGCTGATCCTTCATATTTTCCTTTGATCTTCTATAGCATCTTTCCTGTGTTATTTAACACCAATTATCTGTAGATAATTAAAAATCCAGTAGAGTTCCTGTGATGGTTGATACTGACTGTCAACTTGACAGGATCTAGACCTGCCTAGGAGGAGAACCCCTGGGCACATCTCTGAGGGAGTTTCTTCACTGAGTTAACTGAGATGGAAGGTCAACCCTGGACATCAGGGCTCCGTGGGCTGACGTCTGGGACTGAGTAGGAAGGATGGAGCATGCTGGGCAGCAGCGTTCCTCTCTACTTCCTGCCTGCAGATCCAGTAGGAGCAGCGGCCTCAAGCCCCGCCCACTCTGACTTTCCTGCTGACGCTCTAGGAGACAGAAATAAACCCTTCTCCCCTTAATTTGCTTCCGGTAGGTTCTCCGGTACAGTGCTGAGAAGGTAACACCGTTCCTTCCAGCCCTCCCTTGGCTTAGTGCACCGTCCGTAACATGGAGTGGCTGGAGACGTCCTTCAGGGGTAGGGTACTTGCCCAGCACGCATGAGGGCACCGAGTTCAACCCCGGGAATACAAACCAAACAGAAACCCACCACTTCTACGGCCACTGACTTAGATGCTTTACAATTTTCTTACAGTGTTTCAATATTTATTGTCTGTTCTCTATGAATCAAGCAAGATGATAACTATGTATGCGTCTCCTCAAAGTCCATGTAGAGAAATCCTTTGAGGAGAAAACCAGGGCTTGGAGATGTTATGTGAACTGGTCGGTAACACTGTTAAGCAAGTCTTTGAGCAGGAGTACTAGCTATTTGTGTCTGGCTCCAAGATGTTCCTAAAGCAAAAAGTTACCTATGATTGAGTGCTAAGTATAGAGTTTGTTGGACACAGGTTAACAAGTTAAATTACTGTTAAGCACCTTAACTTAAAAAAACTAAGACTTTAGCTTTCTAGGGAGAGAGGCAGAAAAAGCGCTTCCATAGAGAGACTGTTTTTAGAGCAGTTTACATTTAAGAAACTTACTATCCGGGCTGGGGAGATGGCTTAGTTCGTACACTACAATGCCTTGCAAGCTGGAAGCCCCAGGTTTGTCTCCAGAATACATGTTTGTTTTAAGTGCCAGGTGTGGTGGCACACATTTATAACCCAGCACTGGAGAAGGAGACAGCAAAGGTCCCTGGGGCTCCCTGGCCAGCTAGCTTAGCCCACTTGGGAGTTCCAGGCCAGTGAGAGAGATTTGTTATGAAAAGAAAAAAAGAACAAGGTAGATAGAACCTGAGGATGCCACCCAAGGTGGTCTTCTGGCCCGCACACTCATGCGCACATGTACACACTCCCGCACAAAGCATCACATGAGGAAACAACACTATTATAGTTTTAAAGATTTTTAAAAATTATGTGTGTGCATTTATTGTTAAATGCACATTTAAAGATAGAGTATATGGGGGGTGGTATGTGTGTGAGTTGAGGTAACCTCAAAGGGTACAAGAGGGCATCGATGCCTGGGAGCTAGAATTACAGGTGGTTGTGAGCCACTTGAGATATGGGTGTTGGGAACTAGCTCGGGTCCTCTACAAGAAAAGTTAGTGCTCTTAACCACTGAGCCATCTTCCCAGTCCCTGCCATTCTATTCTTATAGGGGATTACGTCACTGAATTTCACACTTAAATGATCACAAGGAAATCAGAGCTATACTCACTGAAAAGTCATGGCTCCTGCTTCCAAGGTACATCTGGTAGGGGACTGGTCATTCAACTTTCGAAAGAGTTGCTTAGCCTGGCTCTGATACTGCTGGAGGTCTCGGCCTGACTGAAAGAAGATAACTTCATTGAAGAACTTAACACACATACACACAAAGCCGTATCCGTTAGAGGCATCGTGACATCACAAGACTACTACATAAATAAGGTCCTTCACTTAGCGGTCAACAAGATTCATTTCAATGAAGAAAAATGTCTTACTTTTAGAACAAATAAGAAAACCTAACTCCTAGTTTTTCCAAGTCCCCAGTACTTAACTGCTAAGAAGCAAAAGTATGCGGCATATCCATTTTACATAAGGCACTCAGTGTTCTTTTTGCTATTAGCTCACTACCCTCCTCCTCCTCCTCCTCACCCATTTCCCTCACAGTTATGGGCATGAAACTATACATCCCATGACACATCCTGGAGAAAGTTCTGAGAACCAAAGACTGGTGAATCTCATTTTTTATGCTGGAGTATCAACAGAATCTTCCACAAAAGTGGGAGAGCATTTAAGTAAAACTCTCTCTGCATGCCTGTGATTGAAAACTCTGTGGACCACTGCAACTAGGCAAAAAGGCCAGCTATCCTTTATTACATGAATCTATTTGATTCTCCAGTTTAGGCAGCAAATTTGAATAAAGAGTAACATATGCCAAAAGGCTAACACTCAAATGGTATAGAGTATTTCTCTGAACAATTTCTGTAGAGGAAAAGGAGGGCCATAATGTAGTCACGTCATTTGGAAAGGATAAATGTCTTACCTTACTAACCTACTAGAGTCAAAGGAGAAGGAAAGCAGGGCATGAAGAGTGAGAAACAAGTCTACACTGCTAATTCACCCTCTTCCTGGGAGGGGGAGGACTTTCTGCTAGCTATGGTCTGAAGGTCTCTACTGTCCAGATCTTTAAGCTGAGAATTTCACCACCAAGCTGATGGTAAGGGAGTGAAGCCTTTGGGAGATGGTCAGTTATGATGAGAGAATGCTAATCACTGAGGTTGATGTCCCTGTATGAAACCCCAGAAAGCCAATTTGGCCCCTGTACCACACGAAGACCCACACAGAGTTGCTATCTATGAACTAAAAGCAGACACCAAATCTGCTAGCCTTGTCATCTTGGACTTCCCAGTTTCTTTTGATGTTTATTAGCCAACCAGTCACACACATTGCCATGTGACACAAAGTCCTAATTATCCCATTTTTGGAATGACTGATTTTGTATTGAAAGACAGACTAGCTTTCTTTTGGAAGGTATCTCATAATGCTGAAATGAAAGTGGTTATATTAGTTCTCCCACAGTCTGGGAGGGACACCTCATGAAACATTAAGCTTCTAGACAGTATACCACTGAGCTAATAGTAGAAACAAGGAGGCAGTTATATCATGGCAGGTCTGCAAAGGTACAAGTACAGAGAGATGGTGACCTAGAATTTTAATATAAATGAGGTAATAAATAAGCATATGTTAGCCAGAGTCAGGCAGAGTCTACTCAATGCACTAACTGTGGATTTACCTATTATGGCAATGATCTGTTATAATGCTATTTGTTTGAGAAATGCTTCTGTATCAATATATGTATATATGTGGATATTATATCAATTCACACATTAAATAGTACCTTATAATAATCATATTAAGTAGTATGCATGCATGCGTCCATCCATGACTGGTCAGCCAGACATGTTAGTAAATATTATCACATACTTTCAGTCAGTAAAAACTACTGCACAACATCCTATTTTCATATGTGAATGGTATTTACCAATCTGTATGACATTATGTGGCTTGAAGAGATCTGAACGTACAACAGCACTTGATCCAACTAATGTTGGGATTGTTACTGAAGTGATAATGGAATCCCCTAATGATCTGAGAAAATACTTATGCTCAATCTTCACTCTTAAATCAATAAAATAACATTGTTTTTTCAATTGCTAAAGGCAGATGAATACCTTAAGGCACAGCTGAAGAAAATGATGGCAAAAGAAAAAAACCAAAACAAAACAAACAATTCACAAACAAACAAAACAAAAAACACAATCCTGCCAATCAAATAAAAATTGGTGCAAATTTCCCAACTTTGTAAGACATAACATAAACATTACTACAACCTGAGATAACAGAACTAAAAGTCATACCCATCATAAGAAATCATGGTTGGAAGTATGCTACAATTTCAAAATTTGCAAAAAACAAAGCAATATCATGCACTGTGGACAAATCTACATAGAGATTACAGTGTGACAATCAACACTAATGCTGGCTCAGCCAGCATTACCATTCCTAAGAACAAAATCATTGTGGCTAAACAATAATTTTTTTAACATATTCACACAGTAAACTACTACGCAGCCACTAAAATATTTAATGATATGAGACAATATTCAGCACATAGACCTGTTAAGAGGGAAAATGAAGTCAGTCTTACAGTATAGCTCATTATTTAATTTTACATACACACAGGGAGGAGGGAAGAGAGGGGGAAATATGAGAATATTTGAGTATAGATTATAGGAAATAAACATCATTAGCACCTTGGACTTTTTGGCTATATAAGTCACTAAACTTTCCAAATAAGCATGGATTACTTCTACAGTATAAAAACTATTCATTCATCCCTGTTCACTGCATCTTTGTACAAAGAGTGTTATGTGTAATTCTGGTGTGTAAATTTAAAGACAGGCTAGAATTTGTAAAGACACTTCAGAAATAAAGTTAACACTCATTTTCTGTCAGGAACTATTCTGAACATTTTACATAATTTAACTAATTAAATCATCATAATTACTCTAGGAGGTGATTAGAATTATTATTCCAATATTATACTTTAGAAACCAAATTTGGCCAAGGACTCTATGGGGCTAGAAGGGGAGGGCTAGGATTTGACCTCGATAATCTAACCACACAGCCCCCTGCCTCAAGCACTAGGACATTCCACTTACATGATTAAAATTGTTTCAGTGTAGATCCACCTTCTAGACAATGTCTTGTCAATCATGTAATTCACAGGAAAAGCCCAAGGAGCTATGTGGTAGTTGACCAAGACCCCACAAAAACAACATAACCACTGCTTTACAGACAATGTAGCCTGCTTTCAATGTCAAAGCCACAAAGGGCTCACAGTCAGTTAGTTAGCTCAGCTAAAAATACCTAGATGCCCTGATTGTGCTTCCCAGTTCATGTAGAAGAAATCAAACACTGTCTGCCCTATAAGACATGTTAGTAATCCAATAGTGAAGAGAATGAAGACAGCTGGCTTTGCCACAAGCAAACTTGAGGTCCGCCACTGGTATATTTGGGGTCATCTAGTATACTTAGGATTGACTCTGTATTACAAGGTACAAGACAGTGATTTGCCTTAGAATCTCGATATTTTTCCCTCTCACCTAGGCCTAGTAGACAACTACTGCTACCCAATATCATCTTTTACCTTTCTAAGAACGTTTCAGATTTGGTTTTGTTTTACAAACTGATGAACATACCAGGTATATTTACAAAGCATGGGTGAGAGGTTCATTACAGCATGGGTGACCCCTAAACGGCTTCCTAACAGCCAAGTTCCACCCCATCAGGGTATCATGGACGATGACCTCATCCTTTCTATCACCTTCCACTTCCCACATACTTTAGCACTGCTAAAGATCATTGTATTCTCTAAGAATGTTTAGCTAAGGTCTTATCATGTATAGCTCCTTGATAAACTCAGCTGGTCAAAGGCCAGATCGACCAAGAACCAGCCATTTCCCTCTACAGGTAATCATAGTAAGTGCCCTTAAATCAGGGGAGTGAGGCGGTTCAAGTGTACAGCAGGTTACTGGGTTTACCAGAGCTCCCTGTCTAGTGCTCCCTGTCTAGTGCTCCCTGTCGTCTCCCGGGCTAGTTCTAACGTCTTTCCCAAAGCTGAACTGCCCTTCCAGCACTAGTGCAAATGAAAGCAAATACAATTAATTGTGAGGTAGTTAGAAAGGTAGACAAAAGAAACTGTAACCATCCTAAAAAGAAAAAACATGTCCTTACAGAGAGAGGGGGGGGGGGGAAGGAAGGAAGGGAAAAAGAAAGAGGAAGAGAAAGAGAAAGAGAAAGGAGGAAGAAAGGAATAGAATCATCAGTCATCGAGCCTGGGTTTGTGAAGAAAAGTTCACCTATCTGCCCTAAGCCTAAATTTCTAGTAAAGCACATAGTCAACACTGTATAAAATGCTCTGTCTATATTATAGGTGTTACTCTCCACCACATTATCTGAAAAACCAGTCATCTTCAGTGATAAGGCAGTTAATAGCATATATAGGCACTGGCACCTAGTAAATACCTAAAAATAACCTAATGAGTATCAGTACAAATAATTAAAAGCACATGAATTACTTTGGCTTGGACAATTAGAGGATTTAATATAAAACTATTTGGTCAAGATAATCTATGTCTTAAAAGTTATTTCTGAGTTGGATATGGTGGTATATTCTTGTAATTCTAGCATTCAAGAGGTAAGGAAGAGGGATCAATTCAAGGCAAGCTCCAACTATATAGAACATGCCCCAATTTAAAAAAAAAAAAAGTTGCTTCTATATCAGTAAGAAGTGAATTCATGGTTGAAAAGTCTCACACAAGGCAGTACAGAACAGTGGTTAGGAACTAAGTTTCTGGTCTAGAACCAAACTGATACTGATGAGAAAACAGTAGCTGATTACTATAATCAGCAATTCTCAACCAGGACTGACTGTGTCCCCAAAGGAACTTTTGGAAACGTCTAGAAGTAGTCCAAGTTGTTAAAACAAGAGGACAGGAAATGTGCTACTGCCATCAGGATATTAGGGGACACCATCCTACAAGGCCTAGGACAGTCTCTCACATCAAAGAATCATCCAGTCCCAAATGTGAACAGTGACAGGTAAAAACAGACCCCTTCCCCTGGTTAGCTCTCTGACTTTAAGCAAGTGGCCTAGTCTCTGTAAGCCTCGCTGCTTCCCTCTCTACCAAGGGTGGTAAGTTAAGAGCAGCACTCTAACACGGGTGGTGTGAGGACTGAAGAAATACTGCACTCAGCAGGCTCGGGACAGTGCTGCTGTGTGCTAGGCACTCTAGAACATTCTGCAGACCATTACGATGGTAAAAATGAGTCTAAGGTGGATGCTTTTTGAAGCCATTAAAAGTTTAGAAAGGATATTTATTATTTAGACTTGAAATCACTAAAGGAAAATGATGGAATGACAATCACAAAAACACTTCTGTGGAGAATTTCTTGTCAATGAAAGAAAGCAACCCATTTTGGCAGATCGACAAGTAAATACAAAGTTTAAAATTACGAAACGATCAATGAATTTTTCGGAAAATTATCAAAGCAGAAACTAAGGGCCCAATAATAATTAATAGCATTTCAAATCCCCTTTGGTCACCACCCCCTCCATTAGAATTCAATGAAACTGACCGGATTTTGCCCCTTTCTACCCTACTGCTACCCCCTCATGGGAAAAAATATTTCTCAAAGTACGTGTCTTCTACGAAGATGCCACCTCCCCATCTCCCTTGTTCAGATCATATTCTTGGGCTCACTTGAGCAATATACTTTATTAGAGCGGGTGAAAATCAGGCATAACTGTGCAGGCAGGCACTGTACTGAACTTTGACAACTTTATAAGTGGCAATGTTACCTCATCCGCTTTCAAAAGATGTCATCGGGCTAGGTCAAGGATCAGGTGCTACAGGAAAACGAGGTGAAGAAATAAGGGGTTGATCTTCCCCGAGATGTATCAGTCAACAGCCTTAACAGCAGCAGAAAACGAAAAGTCCTGAGTTTTAAGAAAGCCCCGTAACAACTCATCTCAAACTGGGTGGGTGATGACAATCAGCCAAAGACACCCTTTCTCCGGAGCTTTTTGTCTCAAGGGGGACAGGTAACGCCAAACTCTAACTGCTTCGACCAAGACTTCTAATCCTAGGTCGTATCTCCGCCAGCACTCGGCAAAAGAGCTTCGGGGGAGGAGGAGGGAGTGCCTGCGGGGTCGCCAGGGTCTCGCTGGTCCAAGGAAGGAATCCCTAGCTGGGAGCAAGGCGAGCTCGCGGGGGCCGGAGGGCTCGGGGCTCCGGCCGCAGCTTACCTGTTCGTCCTCCTGCATCGAGGCGGCCAGCGGAAGCCCGTCCGCCACGCGGGCGATCATTGTCAGCAGCACCATCTTCCCAGGCTATGGAGACGCGGCCGCCGCAGTCACTGCCCTGCCTTCTCCCGCGGTGGCCAGTCACACCTCCCGCTCGGCTCCCCGACAGCTAGCTGCTGGCGTCTCCGCTTCCCGCTGAGGTGGCCGGAAACAGCTCCAAAGCCTGCCACTACCGGTCCGTTCAACTGGCTTCCCACCAAGAACCACAACCACCGCGACTTTAGTTCCGCAGTCTTTCCGCCTGCCTCCTCTTACTAGGCAAGTCCCGCCCACTTTTGTGATTTTCTTTCTCTTTTCTTTTCTTTTCTTTTCTTTTCTTTTCTTTTCTTTTCTTTTCTTTTCTTTTCTTTTCTTTTCTTTTCTTTTCTTTTTTCTTTCTTTCCTTTTTCTTTATTTCTTCCTTTCTTTCCTTCCTTCCTTTATTTCTTTTGTTTTCTTTTTTTTTGCTTTCACTAAGTCGTGTCTCTTGAAGGGGTGTGGCACCCAAGCTAAAACAATTTTCTAGTTTCTGTACACTTGAAGTATTTGAAAAAGGGCTAAAAAGGTAACTGAGAGCTAATTTTTACACGAACGGAGTGCAAAGCAAGTAAATAGCTATATGTTTTTAGATTTTTTTAACAGAAAATTTCATGTATAATACTTTTTACATTTGTGTATGTCTCGACAGAGCTTTTTTTGAGGGATTTTCTGGGTTAAGTGTTGATGCTGTCACAAGGTTCTTAAACAGTTTGTGGCAAGAAATCAGCAAATAGAGGCTGGAGAGACGGCTCAGGGGTCAAGTGCACTGTCTGCTCTTCCAGAGGGCAGAAGTTCAACTCCCAGCAATCACATGGTGGTTCACAACGATCTGTAACTCCAATTCCAGGGAGATCTGACGCTTTCTTCTGGCTTCTGCAGCCTCTGCATGCACGTGGTGCACAGACAAAAGTGGAGGTGAAACACCCATACACAAGAAAATTTTAAAAAGAGATCGGCAAATACCTATTCTATAAATGAACACGAATTGTATAGGTCCTTCAGGCTCCCCAAATCTAGGCTCTCAGCTGCCTCTGTCATGGTATAAAAAGGGTAATCTTACCAAGCTTTCCAATGACTTGGTTTTCACTTACTTTTGAACCTCTAGACAACTACTCTAAAGGAGGGATCCTCATCTCTCTGTTCTTTGGTGTCCTCATCTGTAAGAAAGGGATATTCTTAGTCCCTAAAGGGTTTTTGTGACTATTAAATGTGAACATGTAGGTACAAGTGTTTTGTAAGCTAAAAAACTAAATAATATGAATGTATTTATTACATTAGTAACAACTATTCTTTGTTAAATGTTTATAGTTAGTCTTATGAATATTTGTAAATTTAAACAAACAGCCCAGTAAGATTTGTTAGTTGAAGACCCCCACTTAATAGTTTGGGAAGCTTTAGAAAAGGATTTTTCCAAGGTCACACAGCTAGCAGTGATGTGAACATGAGTTGAGCTCAGGTTGGCCTAGAACTCACATATAGTACATGCTGGCCTTGGAGTCACAATCGCATCCTGCCTCAGCTTGCCACATGCTGAGATTACAGGTATGAGCCACCACTCCTGGGTTCTTTCTTTAACCTGTAGATATAGATTAAATAATATATGCTTCTGTTACAATTTAAATTACCTTCAGCAATTATTCCAAATTACTCATGAGGCTTTTGAGTTAAAACTCAATGAAATCCTGTGATTGACTCCATAATGGAAGATGAAGAATTGGAATAGATAAGAGAAAAAAACTAATGGCACTATTAACAGAGACAGTGTGGAGTAGAAAGAAATTTGGGTGTGAATAATGTTTAATAGTCTACAGCTATAGCCATCTCTAACTTCTACCTTCCATTCAACAAAGATATGCCTTCTACCACAATCTCAAAATGACTGCCATCTATCCTGATAGAATGATTCTAGGGACTTAATGACAATTATTTCCAATAAGGCCACTGCCATGTGGGTCGGAGAAGCAGACAGAGCAAAACATAGTAGGCATGTATAGAGAAGCTGGCTTGGAGTGAGAGTCTCAGCTTTGTTTTTGTTTGTGACTCTCAGCTTTTCCCAAGACCTGTGTGCATATTGCCTGTATGTTTATCAGACACCATTGCTTCTTTTAAATGTATTTTAATTTTTATGTTAGCACGTAGAACAATGGATTTAATTATGGTGTTCTTAGGAGTGTATGCCATTATCATTGTTTCCTTATGATAAATTCCACTCCTCTTGCTTAGGCTACTTGGAGTTAATTTTTGTTACAAAATTTATAGGGTCAAATCCCATCCCCACTCCCACCCCAATGCTGAAGAACCAACCCAGACCTTACACAAGCCAGGCAAATGCTTGACCACTGAACTACATCTCCAGCCCTCTACCAACCATCTCATGAAACAATCAATATTCATACTCACACCCCTCATGTTTTCCTTTTAAACAAACTACATGATTCTGGTGCCCTCAACCACTGGAGTTGTTATTCCAAAAAGGGGGTGTGGTCTTCTTAGATTGCTCAATACAACTGGGAAAAGCTATTGCTGTATCTGATCAGATACTCAGAACTTAGGGACTCTGGAATCTGAGTCACTTTTGCTTCTGACTCTCTGCATTGTCTCATTCACATCTGGGATTGCCTTGCTCTTTGATCCTCTGAGCAACACAGAACTGTGTAACAATGAGCAATCCTGTGCTAGGTACAGGAAAGGCCTTCCTTGACTGTTTTACACTGAACAACAACAAAAAAAGAATATTCAGATTGCTAAAGTTCATCTTTATCCTTGACTTAACAATACACAATGTTTTGAAATGAATAAAATTTTAGAACCTTGGTGGTGAGAGTCGGGGAAGACAAGGGAATGAATCATAGATAGCGATGTCAGAGAATTCTTAAACCTTACTAAGCAATTGAAAAACACACATGCTGTGGGATGTCTTTCTGTATGTTGTGAATATGTGTTGCTCTGATTGGTTGATAAATAAAGCTGCTGGCCTACTGAGAGTCAGGTTATATCCAGGCAGGAAATCCAAGAGGGAGACAGGAAGAAGAAAGGCAGAGGCATAGGCGACACCAGCCTCAGACTGAAGGAACAGCATGCCAGCAGATAGGCAAGCCATGGAACACATGGCAAAACATAGATTAATAGAAATACGTTCATTTAAGATACAAAAGCAGGCTAGCAAGAAGCCTGCCATAGGCCATGCAATTGGTAATTAATATAAGCTTCTGAGTAATTATTTTATAAGCGGCTGTGGGACCGTGGGCTGAGTGGGAATAGAGAAACGTGGGACTGTGGAGCTGGGCAGGACTGGAGAAATCTTCCAACTACATACACACATCCAAATTAAATTACTTCATATTAAGCTACTGTACTAGATGGTTTTTTTATGTCAACTTGACATGGGCTAAAGTTATCAGAGAAGAAGGAGCCTCAGTTGAGGAAATGCCTCTATGAGATCCAGCTGTAAGGTGTTTTCTAAGTTAGTGATCAATGGAGCAGGGCCCAGCCCATTGTGGATGGTGCCATCCCTGGGCTGTTGGTTCTGGGTTTAATAACAAAGCAGGCTGAGCATGCCAAGGGAAGCAAGCCAGCAAACAACAGCACCCCTCCATGGCCTCTGCATCAGCTTCTGCCTCCAGGTTCCAACCCTGCTTGAGTTCCTGTTCTGACTTCCTCCAATGATGGACTATGTGTAAGCCAAATAAACCCTTTCCTCCCCAACTTGCCTTTTGGTTATGGTTTCAGTCAAAGTAATAGAAAACCTAACTAAGATAGAAATTAGTACCAGGGACTGGGGTATTGTTGTGATAGGCTTGACCACGTTTTTTGTTGGAGGAATTTGGACTTTGGGTTAGGAAAGCAATGTAACGCTTTAAGCACTTCTTAATGGGTCATACTAGTAGGAGCATGGAAGACAGTGGTGCCGAGGTGATTTGAACTGTGGGGAGCTGGCTCAAGAGGTTTCAGAGAAGAATTTTAGTATGTTGCCTAAAGATTGTCCTTGTGATATTTTGGTGAAGAGTATGGCTGCTTTTTGCCTTTGTCTGAAAAGTCTTTTTGAGACTAAAGTGAAGAGATTTGGATTAATTCCATTGGCAGAGGAAATCTTAAAACAACCTAACGTAGACTCTGTCATATGGTTATTAATGCTAACTCTAATGAAAATGAGCAAATATAAGATAGATTTATAAAAATGGGTTAATTTAAGATATATGAACAGTTAACAAAAAGTCTGCCATGGCCATACAGTTTGTAAATAATATAAGCGTCTCTGTGTTTATTTTATAAATGGGCTGTCAGACTGCCGGGGCTTGGCAGGACCTGGAGAGAAAACTCCAGCTACAGGCGGTGATAGGCGAAGAGAGAGGGCCAAGGTCTACTTGCTATCATTGCCCAATGGGGTCAGCCAGATGTTGTACAACAGCCTGGAGCTTAAGCAGACACAGACTCGGCCCTCAACCTGCTGTCTGTCTGCAGGATCTCCCTGGCTCTGGGCAAAGGAGGCCCAAGAGGAGGAAAGTTTCAATGCCTGGATTGGACCTCCTTGAAGGACCACTATAGCCCTGTGACATCACTGGAGACCATGTTGGTATCTGTGGTTTATGCTGCTGCTCCAGGGCATAATGAAGCCTGAGATCCATGTGGATGTATGCAGTCTGTGCCTCTGTCTAGTGCCTTGATGATGTCCTCAGGCTTTCCTGCCTGGAAAAGCCTGATGGGAATGGCCTGTGTAGCTATTTGGGCTGCTGCCTGATGTGAGATTCCCAAATAATAAAAATTATATTAATAATATTATTTATATTAATAATAATAATAACTTTAAAAAAGCATGATTTACACAGTTACCAACCTTGGTGGTGTGTATTTTACTTTTCACATTTGTCTGTTTGTATGTTTGCCTGTTTATAATAGTGTGTACACACGTGTGCACATGCTTGGGCAAGTGAACTTGTGCCATGGTACATCAGTTCTCTCCTTTTACCATGTGGGCTCCAGGGATTGAACTCAGGTAATCAGGCTTTTGCAGCAAGTGTGCCTCATCCACTGAGCCATCTTGTCAGCCTCTTGCCTACTTTTGAGTGTGAATGTCTACTCACCTATCGTGTGTGTGTGTGTGTGTGTGTGTGTGTGTGTGTGTGTGTGTATGCCTATCATTA